GCCCCAGGTCCTCTGCCCCTCACCCACCAAGGCCCCAGGTCCTCTGCTCTTCTCCCACCAAAGCCCAAGGTCCTCTGCCCCTCACCCACCAAGGCCCCAGGTCCTCTGCTCTTCTCCCACCAAAGCCCAAGGTCCTCTGATTTTCTTCTCACCAAGGCCCAAGTCATCTGCTCCTTTTCTCTCAAGTTCATGTCATCAGCCACGATTAATTAATTGTCTTTGTTGAGTTGTCCAGTGAGCGGCAGAGCCTGGATACGTTCTCAGTATTTGTGGACATCCATTTGGACATCCAAGTGACTGACTATGCTTAGGGTAGGGTTGCAAAAAAGCAGAGAGGGCCTTTGTTCAAAGACAAATGCACACACAAACACACTTATACACGTACATATACACACGTAGACACATACATACATACACACATACATACAAATGCATACATATACACATACACACATATACACTCATACACATACATACACATACACAAAAAACATGTACACACATATATAAATGTACACTCACACACATATATACACATACACACAAATACATACACATATATACATACATGCATATAAACATATACACACATAGACACATACATTCACACATATACACATATGTATATAAACATATACACATATAGACACATGCATTCACATCCATACATATGCACATACATATACACATACACACATATACATACATACAGGCATAAATGTGTACACACATACATACACATACATTCACACACATACATATTCATATACATATACACACATACACTCATACACACATACATACACATACATTCGCACACATACATATTCATATACATATACACACATACACTCATACATATACACACACATACACACATAAATATACATATTCATGCATACATACATAGACATACATACACACACATTCACTTGTGCACGCATACACATACATTCATGCACATACATATATACACACATGCATATACATATATACACACATACACATACATGTGCATATGTTCACACACGCACACACACACATACACACATTTATAAGTGCTTTGATTTGATAAAGGTCACTTTGTCTCATCTGTGGCTGGACTCTGGCCTTGGCTCCTGGGCCTCCTCCCGCCTCCAGTCTCTATGGCGGCCTGACCTTAGAGTCGGAACCAAGGTCCTGTGTCCAGGGGACCACAGCCAGCCCTGCAACACTGAGGAGATCTCAGCAGGAGAGGGTGGCAGCCCAGAAGCACAGCCCTGGGGAGGTCCCAGCCCTCTCCTGCTGCAGCTTCCTCTGCAGCCCTGGATTGGTCCCCAGAGCCAAAGGGGCTGGGCCAGAGCCCTATATATGTCTCAGCTGGAGAGGCAGCCCCAGACCCTGAGGAAGTTTTCAAAGACTTCCTGTTCGCTGTTGAGAAGTTGTGTACAGAGCGGAGGCCCCAGACCACTTGCCAGGATGTGTAAGGGGCTCGCAGCGCTGCCCCATTCCTGTCTGGAGAGGTGAGAGGTAGAGCTCTGGATGTTATCTGGGGGTGCCAGGGGGTTCCTCACCCTGAGGCACATCTGCTGTGGCAGAGCTGGGTTGACTGGGGTCATCTGTAAAGAGCAGAGATTCTGAAGGGTCCTCACACCTCCCTTAGGACCCAGAACAGTGTTCCTCACGGGGGGGGGGGGGGGGCGCTGCCCGTTCCACAAGTGCTTGTGCAGAGTGAGGGAACAAGGCTCAATGCAGATGCCATCAGCAAACTGCCTGGGCCATGTCCTACCTCCTCTGCTCAAACTGAGGCTCTGGCCAGTGTTTAAGCTCTATTTCAGTTTCCTTATCTATCTGTGATACGCAGATGCTGAGTCTGCCACAGGCTGGCTCCGGGAATTGAGTGAGTTCCTGAGGAGACGTGCTCAGAAGGGGTCTGGATGTGCAGATGGTCACCTTCCCTAATGACAGGGAGAGGAGGGGGCTGGTGGAGGCAGAGGGGGCTTCTCTCTGTGCTCAGAGGGTCTGGATGTGTAGATGGTCACTTTCCCCAACGACAGGGGCCAGGAGAGGAGGAGGCTGCTAGAGGCAGAGGGGGCTTCTCTGCCTTCTCTGTACCCTGACTGCACCAGATAGAAGTAGCTAGATTGCTGGACAGAAGAAGGTATTGGGATGCAGGGTCACCCAGCCAGCATTCCTGGAGCTGGTTGTCCTGGGGCCGGACAGTGCTCTTGAGGATGTCCCAAGGGTCTAAAGTGAACAGAAGCAGAGCAACTATCTCATTAACAACCCTATGTGGTGCCTGGAGGAAGGGACGTTTCTCCTATTATTAGGAATGGATGTGACTGAGTTTAGTTTGATCTGTATTATCAAAGGAAACGCACTTGCATTCTGCCCTGAAGCCATGCCAAGGCTTATCTGAGAAAGTCACCTAGAACTTCTGTCTCTTTAAGAACCCGGGTCTTATTTTGGGTGACTTCCACCCTAGACACAACATCAAATTGATTTCTTGGGCGATAACATGGCCTGTTACTTGTTTCTACAAGGCTCTATAGTGATTTGAATGAGGCCCAAGGGGGCTTGTTCACTGTGGTCAACAGGAAGATAGTTAATGCCCTGCACACAAGAGGGACTGGGAGCAGTTAAGTCCCAGCTGTCAGCCTCCGCTAGGGCATCAATGTGGCCCAGGGACCAACTGCAGGCCAGAGCTGCTGCTGTTCATGGCTGCCCCTGCCCCTACCTGCTCTGGGCAAAGCCTGAGGAATGGGCTCAGGTGCAGAGCTGGGGCCAAACACCTGGAGAAGACTAGGACCAGCAGCACCCTCTGCCCACAGAGAAGCTCAGCTTGCCTTACCTGTGTGTCCTGGAGGCTCGCTGGGCCCAGCTTCCTCTCCCCTTCCACTGCCCCAGAACCCAACAGCCTCAGGCCTCGTGGCCCCGAGGCACACTCCTTGGCCAGCAGAGCACCCAGAGTTGGCTTGCCCCTGGTTCTGCCCTTCATATTCTCGTAAGTCGGCTTTCAGTTTCCTGAGACTCATGAGGGAAGGCTTGTCTAGTCGTTGCCATCACTGATGTGTCTGATTCACTGTCACCATCAACACTTACCTGGGCTGGGGTCAGATCAGCAATTCTGTGCCAGGTCCACCAGGTCAGCTCACTCCTGATCTTCATGTGTCGTGCAGGGTCTCACCCTGGGCTCTGGGTGGGCCGGGCGGCACACTTCCCACTGTGTGGTTCTATAGGTACAGTAAATCCTCATACTCCAGGATGAGTGTTCACATGGAACATCAAACAACAGCTAGGGAGCAAGCTCTTTTTAGCTGATTGATGAACTTTCTAATTTACTGCATGTGTAGAATCCTGAGATTAATACGTGCTGTTGCATGTGCTTCATGATCTCCTACCACTGTGAGTAAAATTGGACTTTTAATCACATGTAGCCCAGCAGAATGTTCTGCAGAGATGGAAGCAGACCTGGGCAGCTGTTAGCAGGCACCCAGGGAGCCGCTCTAGGACTGTTCTCAGAGGCACCTGAGGAAGTGCAGCCCACCACCCTGGCCTCCCTGGCTCTCAGTTCCTGCACCCACAAGGTCCTTCCTTTCCATCCTCCTCTCTAAGCACCAGAAGGGACCTGGTGGCTGCCTCACGGAGGGCAGGCGAAAACCTTTATGAAATAGGCAGGGTAGCCGTGTGCTTTGCAAACAGCTCAACTTCTAAGGGAAAGCTCTGAATTATACCCTGCATCAGGCCCTAGAAACAGCTTACAGAAGCCCAGTGAACAGTGTCCCTGTGACATGGAGGCCTGCTGTGGGCCCTCAGGCAGACCGCTCTGTCAGTTTCCAGGCCATGCCCCAGGGCAGCTGCTTTTCCCTTGAGACCCTGCTTTCCAGCTGAGCAGGTGAGACTTGGATTCATGGCTCTGTGCAATATAGAGATGCACCCAACATCAGTGACCAGGAAGGCAACCCAAGGGAAGTTGGTTCCCCTTGCTTTTCTCCGAAACTCTGGAGTGGGTTGGATGGAGGGAGTGGGAAAATGTGGAACCCTTAGGGTCCCAGGCCTGGGGAACTAGGAGTGGTTCTAGAGCCTGAGGAGCTGTGCTGGACCTCATGAGGGAGGCCATAAGGCCATGAGAGCTTCTCCCAGGCCTGGGCAGCCCAAGGTCAGAGACAGCTGCCACGAATGTGTGGGAACTGTGTCTCTATGCCTAGGTTTGCCCCCTGGTAAAGTGGCGAGCTGGTACCTCATGCCCCATAGTGTGTGGTGAGGTAGGAGCTCTGTGTAGGAACCAGGTCAACCCCAGATGTTAGGGTCCTCTAGGCTCAGGAGGGTGAGGTGAGGTAGGAGCTCTGTGCAGGACCAGGTCAACCCCAGATGTTAGGGTCCTCTAGGGTCAGGAGGGTGTGGTGAGGTAGGAGCTCTGTGCAGGACCAGGTCAACCCCAGATGTTAGGGTCCTCTAGGGTCAGGAGGATGTGGGGAGG